TTCCAAAGCAATACATGAAACACACAAAAACTTGTGATTTATTTATTTCTTCAATTTCTGTTTAATAATTTTGTGTCCAAAATGGGTTGTATGGGCTAGTTTGGAGGGAGGAAAGGAAACAGAGAAAAAAATGTAATTTTATTATAATCTCAAAATGGGAAATAATTAAAAAAAAATAAAACTGAGGAACATGAAACCAGGTAAGAGGAAGACACCTTCCAACTCACTTGTCTATACTCAGACTAGCATCTGTTTCTGAGAGTAATCCAACCTAGACAAAAAAAATAATGCTTTCATTTAACTTTTACAGAATAAGTGGGTGTTCACAATAGCATCACTTTAAGTTTGTGTAAATGATGTGTTTTAATGGAGAAGTGTGACAGGACACAGAAGTAAGCAAAGTGAGTAAAATGTGTGTGCATGGTCAAATTTCTAAGTCTAAGAATGAGTCTGAGCAAGTTGTAATATAACATGTGGATAAATGAATTTAAAACATCTCATTGTAACTTAAGCTTCTTCCAGCTCCTCTTGGCCATTGATGCATCACCAAACCCTGGGATTATTATTAGATTATACAACTAATTATATATTGGTCATTTCCTTTTTCTATTTGTATCAAATTTGAAGATATTTCTTCTTTTTATTTTTCTTATTTAATTAAGCAGGATTTTTAAAGAATGCTGGGTACCTCACAGGTCTCTTTGGAAAGCAGGTAACCAAGCTTGGAAAAAAAAGCTCAGGGCCATTAATGGCCCAGCGTAGACCTGGACACTGACATATCTGGCTCAGATAATGATTGTGATACTACTACTGATTCAGGGACCAGATTCTGGACTCCAGGAAACTGCTTTCCAAAGCTGAGCACCTGAGTCACCAGCTTTGGTGGAAATGACTGCTGTTTATAGTCTTCTTTCCTACAATGTTTTTCTCTAAGCTGGTGTCTGCAGCTAGAGCATCTAATGTTGAAACCCAGGTCTTGTACTTATGTTCTAGATATAGGGCAACCAGACAAGGGATTGTTTTGTCACTAGGAAGGAAGGTATAGTAATGTCAGAATTCTCACATTTATGGGATTCAAAGGTCATTGGTTGTTTATCACAAGGTTAGTGTGAATAGAAAGTAAGTTATATTTAAATGAACCACACAAATGCAATTACATAACAGATACTGAGAAATTTATTATTTTAAAAAAGAATTACATTTTTAAAAAAATTTGGGGTCTATAACAAAGCTTTTTGTACTTATGAGTAAAAGCAAACTGTCACAGAGCACAACATTCCCAAAATTATTTTATACATTTGAAAGGTCAATGATTACAAAGAAAACAATTTTATTAACTAAAATGAAGACAGTCAATAGTATAGAAGACAATAAAGTACTTATAAAACAAAGAATAGCTCTTTACCACAGTCATTTGGTAATGATAATCCAATATTTTGTTTTCCAAAACTTATATTTGGATGCTAATATAAATAAATTTAAACATAAAGTTAAAAATGGAATTGATTTGCTTATGTTGTAATTCAATCAACTAATAAATAACAGGCTAGCATAAGAAGTATTTTAGAAGGTGTATAACTCAAAAAGAATCAAATGTAATTTATGTGCTTCTGAAGATGGATTGAACAGTCCAGTTTCTGAGGAGGTAAAAGGTCTGATGATCAGTTGCTTTTGATATCTTGAAAATCTAGACTAAGTTTTGTTACTACAGGTGTCAAAATCTAAAACTTAATATATTATATACAAAATTTGAATAAAAAATGGCTGGAATAATTGAAATAGAGACCAAAGAATTGTTTTACTACTATAAGATAAAGGATTATCATTCTTATGAAGCTTCTTACAAAAATAAGAGAAAATATATAAAATTAAAGTAGTATGAGAACTAGCAAATATTATCAATGTCTTTGATCTCTTGAATTATCATACATTTGAAAAAAATAGTAAAGGTGGATTGTTGCTGCTATGTAGATTCTAGTGCTGTTTATCATTATGTTTCAGCATCTAACAGGACTTAATCCAGCTCTAAGTTTCCCTATGCATAGTTCTTTATGAACTAGTAAAATCAGGTGAGTTTTAGAAGGGAAGCACTTTGGCCCTGCACTGTTAATTGACACATAAATGATTTATTTTTTAAAGTAATATGGTCATACCATTTAAGAGAGTTGAATATTTTGTACACTTGGATTCAATAAGCCTATTTTTTTTCGAGACAGGGGTTCTCTGTGTAGCTTTGCGCCTTTCCTGGAACTCACTTGGTAGCCCAGGCAAGCCTTGAACTCACAGAGATCCGCTTGGCTCTACCTCCCGAGTGCTGGGATTAAAGGCGTGCGCCACCAACGCCTGGTAATAAGCCTATTCTTTAGAAATATAAAGACAAAACTTCAATTTTTATTATTACTTACAATAATAATTAAATATTGAAGGCATTTAATATAGGCAAAATGAATGACTATATACAGATAAATTTTGATATAAATTGAAAACTGTACTTTTGATATAAATTGAAAACTCAAATGGCTGAAAAACATTTAAGAAATTGCTCAACATCCCTAATCATCAGGGAAATGCA